TCTGACTTGTCGTTAAGAAAGCTTGAAGAATTGCATGGAGAGCTGCAGACACTACAAAAAGAGAAGGTCAATTATGTTCCAGATCATCTTATGTATTTATTTATTATTTTTTTAATCTAATTTTAAATACCTTATTTGGTTTCTTCATAACTAACCACACTTGTATCTTCTTTTTGAACAGATTGAACGCCTCAAGAAGGTTCAGGACCACCTATGCACTTTAGAATCTCTTTGTTTGGTGCTTGGTTTGGATTTTAAGCAGATAGTCAGCAATATCCATCCGAGTTTAGGAGATACTGAAGGGCCTAAGAGTGTAACAAATGATACAATCCAGCAGTTGGCAGATGCCATACAAAATCTGCGGCAAGTTAAACTGCAGAGAATGCAGAAGGTAAAATGCAGAAATTAATGCTATTTTCCCTTTTAAAGAAGACACCTTCACATTACAAGTAATAACTTGATCATGATCTGGCAGCTCCAAGATCTCGTAACAACAATGTTGGAGCTCTGGGACTTGATGGATACACCTATCGAAGAGCAACAGATGTTTCAAAGTGTTACTTGTAATCTTGCTGCTTCAGAATATGAAATAACTGAGCCTAACACCTTGTCTGTGGAATTCATCAATTATGTAAGTTATAAGTAACCTCAGTTCATTAGACTGGACTTATCCATTTTAGATCGTTCAGAATTCATTAAGTAATAATTTTACACAGGTGGAGGCGGAAGTATGCAGGTTAAACGAATTAAAAGCAAGCAAAATGAAAGAGCTTGTATTGAAGAAGAGAACGGAGCTAGAGGAGATATGTAGAAAGGTGCATATGGTTCCAGTAGTAGACAATGCAATGGAATTTGCTGTTGAAGCTATAGAGTCAGGTAACCCTTCTTGCAAGTCATTGCAGGAGATGAATGCAATAGTTTCTTCAACTAACTGAATGTTTGCCTCTTCCTTTCTCATGCAGGATCCGTGGACCCAGCTTACGTGCTTCAACAAATTGAGCTTCAGATTGCCAGGGTCAAAGAAGAAGCTTTAGGTAGAAAAGAAATACTTGAAAAGGTTGAGAAGTGGTTGGCAGCTTGTGATGAGGAGTCCTGGCTTGAGGAGTACAACAGGGTTGGTTGTTTTTATCCTCCCTTTACATATTACACCTTGTATCATAATTATCTTCACCGTTCATTTTGTTATTTCATCCAGGATGACAATCGGTACAATGCTGGGAGAGGTGCTCATCTTACTCTCAAGCGAGCTGAGAAAGCTCGTGCCTTGGTTAGTAAACTTCCAGGTATTCATCAAGTTTACATTTTAGCCATCGTTGTCGATTTGTTATCAGATATTTTTCCATACGGCTTTACATAGAGACAAGGCAAAATTATGCTTCAATAATAGACCTGCAGAGACTGTATATTATTGCATATTATTTTGTCTAATGCTGTTAATGAAGCTTGATCAAACTTTATATGGAGAATTAGCCAGTCTGGAAATGAAGTGGCAGTTCTTTGTAATGCTACTAGCTTTGCCAAGAGCTATAAAAAAAAAAAAAAATCAATCGTGGACATTAACAGTTCTCGTTCATACCGATACGTCGAAAATAAGAATGAACAGTTGACTTGTTAGAATTTTTTTTTTTTGTGACAAGAAACTCTTGATTTATCTATGATTCTAATGCTTAGCGATCGAATTGTACATGGGCCTTTAGCAAGTTGGCAATATTGAAATGAGGTAACTATTCTTAATCTGTTGATGCGTTAATCAAAATAGCCAGAAGAAAAAGCAATGATGACTATTGAACAGATGAACATTAACTCATTATGATCTCGGTGGACTCAATTTTGCTTCGAGTATTCTGCTTCATGCCTCCGCCCATTGAATCATTTTGTATATTTTGTATGAACTCTTATGAAAACCACTCCTGTTTATGTATAATTTATGATAATATATATATTTTTAATTTTATGTAGCAATGGTAGATGCTTTGGCTTCAAAAACTGTTGCATGGGAAAAAGAAAAAGGCATGGAATTTACTTATGATGGTGTAAGCACGCTCTCCTAACATTTCTTTCTGTTAATATAAAGTCCTTTGGTTGCTAAAATAAATCTGCCTCTGATTGATTCCTGATTGTGGGGCATTTTAGATCCGTCTACTTTCTATGCTCGAAGAATACACCATATTACGGGAAGAGAAAGAGCAAGAACGTCGCAGGCAGAGGGTATGCATCTCTCATTGCATTGAAATATTTATCCCAATAAAATTTTCTACTTAAAGACTTTGAGACATGTATAAACAGTAAACTGGTACTTCTGTTTCTGTAAACCGGTGTCGTTTTTTTCTGTTCCAGGATCTGAAGAAACTTCAGGGACAATTAATTGCGGAACAGGAGGCACTTTATGGGTCAAAACCAAGCCCTTCGAAGGCTCAGGGCCCTAAAAAGGCACCTAGGATGTCAACGGGAGGCGCAGCTAGTAGAAGAGTTTCCCTTGGAGGGTCAATGGTTCAAACTCCCAAAGCAACTCAGTCACGCCCCATGAGGAAGACTGACATTGCCCACCATTTTGACAATCACCTGGATGATTCTCTTTCATCTTTATCATCAGGTTTTGTTTCTTTACTTACTGATTTTCCATAATTTCTTGCTACAAATTTTTGACCTTCTGTCATCATTTGTTTCTGTGCTTTGGCTTGTCGAGATGATGGTTCTTGTTACGTTATCTATGAATCCCTTCAACCTGGTTAAAAAATGTAACCTGGTTAAAAAATGTAATACATACATGACACAGAGTAAGACTGCATTCAAACAGCCAATATCATTTATGTTTGGTTACGTAGTGTTCTCTTTACCAAGCTTCTAACTTTGAATTCCGGGATGGCTAACATTTGTCTTCCTAATGTGTATACACAGTTAGGAGAGGATTGGATGTTACCGGTGGTTCTGTGAAAAAGCAATCATTTGGCGGTGGTGCAACTGGTGGCGGAGGCCGTGACATACATTCTCCGATGACGCGACAACCTTTCTCTCCCATTGCTTCAACGTTATCATCAAAAGCTAACATGAAAACCCCCGCAGACGAACTCATCAACACACAAAGTGAGAAGTTGCAGAAAGCAGTTGCACCTAACGCCACAATGCCATTCACTACACCGTCCAAGACAGCTCCGATTATGGCAGATGAAGAGAACAGAACTCCGAAGACAGTAATGCCCATTCCTTACCCATCCACACCTTCTACCGTGTCAGCTCCGATGAACATGGCCGTCACACCGGCTCCTCCTGCTGCTGCTCCGGTCCTTCGTGCAGGTGACTTCGCTCCAGAGATTGAATACTCTTTTGAGGAAAGAAGGCTCGCTTTCATTCTTTCATCTTGACTCATTTTATTATTCGTTGAGGTTTGATTATCTTTCGTTACTACAGTTAGTAGATACATCACCGGACTTCGTTGGAAACTGAGTCCTCTTCTTGCTTGCTTTTGTTCTCTGCTGTGTCGGATGATGATAATCTCAAGTCAATAAGCGTAATTGGCTTTCGATTGTCGTGTGTTGTGTACATAGTCTACGACAAGTGGACGTGGGCTAGGATGTCAAACTCATTACTAAAATACTAACGTGAGATTCTGGATTCTAAGATTGAATTGAATATTCTGCTCCCTTCCTTTCTTTCTGGTTTGATTCCAATCTTGTACTAGCAAGTAACGCATCAACAGTTACAAGGAGGAGGTTCTTTGATGGCTGTATGTACTGATAGCACGTGACATGGTCTCACAAAGGCGTGTATGTTATTGTTATGTCTCTCTCATGCTCTTTTCTTCAAAAAGAACCAACATAAGCATGTTGGCTTTGTTCTATCATAATAATAATAATAATTTATTATTGTTTTTTCTGGGGTTAAATACCCATGATCCCTCCTAAAGTAAGTCAACTTATTTCAAATCTTCTGTCAGAAAAGGAAATGTTTGAACAATTTCTTTCCCAGAAATGGTTTTGGACTTTGGAGTATTGAGTCAATTTGAAGAACATGGTGTGGAGACTCTGGAATTGATTTTTCTCCAATCTCTGCTTGGCCTAAATTTTTAATTGTTAGATTTTCTTGATTGCTAAATTGATGCCCGGATTGCCAAATATTGGCATTATTGCAGTTTCCAGATTTTCATCCACATATATAAATCTAGCAAGTAAAGATTTTTGGAAAAGAAAATCGGGATAATGAAATGAAATATTATACATACCTGAAATGAAATTCATTGAGATGAACAAAACATTAAGAACTTGCCTAAACAACAATTTTACAAAAATAACTAAAATTATATATACCTAGATCAGAAAATCTTGACAAATTTCTCGGGAAAAGATTATTATTTTGATCAGGGTATGAAAACGAGGAAGAAAAGAAAAAGTACAGCTGGGGGCAATTAAATTAAAAAACATAGAGAACGCAATTTACAAATATGAATTATATAATATAATTAATTAACTATGGATGAGAGAGAAAGCATGTGCTAAGGTGGTAATAACAGTAGATTGATCAGAAATTGAAGGGCAATTCAGAGGTAGCGAATTTATTTTATGTTGTAAAAATATAAATGTGAGTTCGTTGGTCAACTTTAATCCAAGTGAAAAGACAAAGAACTTGTCAGTAGTTGGGGAAATGTAATGGCTCCAACCGTAGCTTTACAGCTTTGAACAGAGGCTTTAGTTAAATAAATAAATATATGTGCCAATTTTAAATTAAAAAAAGGTGTTTTCTTTCTTTTTCAAAAATTGTGTATTTTTTTATGCATCCCATTTAAGTATCCCCATTCACAATCATTTATTAAATACCTTTATTAAATTTCCAAGACGGACGTGAACCTATTTCTTAACCAAAATTTATACTTTCAATTTTGCAAATAAAATATTAATTATTAATTAATTTTTCAATATTTAATTACTTTAATTTTTAATTTATTCGTTTTTGTTAATTTTTCAACTTTATTTATTTACTCCTCGTTTTCTTCCAAAACCCTAAATTCATGTATCACTCTGGAGAAATTATCTTCTGGAGTTGTTATTTTTCTCTGTAATTGTAGATTTTTTTTTTCGTCAAAATTTTGGGTTAATTTTGAAGCTCTGCGGTTTCTGCAATGGCGGAGATTTGATGTACAGTACTGCGTTTTTCTCGGAGGTCTTGCTCAACTGTCGCTATTGCGTCACTCGTTTCTTCTTCTATCTGACCTTTCTGAGAATAAGGGTTGTGTTTTTTCAGGTTTTGTGTTAGATTAACTAATTTTTGAGTTCAAACTTCATTTCCACCCTTTCTGGATTTCACTTCTCGGCCATTCAAATCTACTCCTCCACAGAAAGGGCTTTTATTGTTTGAATTTATTTTTCTGATTATTTGTGCGTTTTCTGGTTTGTAAGTTTTTTAATCTTCTTCGATGGGTAGGGTTTATCGTTTTTGAGGTTTTGGTTTTCTTCGTTATTTCCCACCTTTTTTCCGGTTCGATTCATTTAAATGGAAGAAAAAGATAGTTTTTTCGCTGGGCTCACCGTGAAGGCTAACGATGCTCCGGAGAGCCACCATGTAACTCCGAGAAGTGAAAACTTCGGACTGTTCGGCGGGCATACAGGGACGGCGCCGGCCCCGGCGCCTGCACCAGCTCCGACTACGGCTCCAATTCCATCTCCAGCTTCAGCTCCAGTGCCTTCTTCAGTTTCGGCGCCGGAGCCAGTCAGTGTGGCGGCGGCGCCAGCGAGTACGGATGTAGTAAAGAAGAAAAGGGGAAGGCCTAGGAAGTACGGGCCTGATGGCAAATTAGCGTTGGCGTTGTCGCCGATGCCAATTTCATCTTCTATTCCGTTGACTGGTGACTTCTCACTGTGGAAACGTGGTAGAGGGCGGCCAGTTGAATCGGTCAAGAAGTCGTTTAAGTACGAATTTGAAAGTCCAGGACCAGGTACAAATATAGCTTTTCGATCTACGATTTTAAAGTCTTAGGTTATTCTTTTTACCCTCACATTTTTAACAGTACTTCGTTGCTTGACAATTTGTGTCTGAAAGCTTGAGAACAATAAATACAATACAGTGAGCTCTCCAAACCGTAGTTTTGTCATTTATAGATAGAATACTGTGATCACTGAAATATGATTTTTTTTTTTTTTGAGTTTTGTAATGGGTTCTGCTATAATTATGTGGAGATATAGCTGCTTCCTCTGATCTGGGTTTCTAGTGTATATTTATTTTGTTGGATTTGATTCATGCCTTTGTAGTAGAGTTTAAGATGGTGAAAGTGGACCCTTGGTTGAGATTCCCTTTCAGATCTGGAGAGAAGGTGTGGCGGGGACTTAGATTTTTGTGGTTATAATAAAGTGAGGTCAAGTTATCTCTTCAGGTAGAGCATATGATTCTCTTTTGCCCTTTATGTGGCGGAAAGATTGCATTGTCCCTGACCACAGAAATCGCTAATCAGAGTTAGAATAATTGAAGGCGCCAGCGTGTTCAATAGGGTTCAGTCCAGTTGTTAGCTGATGTGACTGGTTTGAATAGGTCTGAAGAAAACTAATAATTATTTCTAAAAGCCTTCTAAGTAACTGCGTTCAAGATGTTGACTTGTTCATGAGACTGAAAAATGACTAACCCCAGCAGGGATAATTCTTTCCTATTCGAAATAGTTATTATTATGGAAATCTTGTTCTGAGGAGAATTTTCATCATTAATACAGGTTGAGGGTAGCTTCTAAGAATCACGGTGTCTGTTTATATGTCAAATAATTATAATGAAATCTTGTTTAAGTTCATGAAGCTTCGTTGTCTTCCATGCATGAAATACTTCTGAACATCATTTCACATTACGAAGAGGTGGGATATGACCACTAAAATTTGTGTTCGTCCATGACCGATGCGTGGTAGTCTAAGGTGGTAGACCCCCCCTTCTTCTCATGTGCTAAAGTAATGGATGAAATTGAATCGAGCTTTGTCATGATATAACTGCCACTCCTGTTTCAGGGTGCAATGTGAAAAGCGATATTTTATTGGTATTACTTAAGAAATTACTGTGCCAACGCGATTCCCAATAAAGGACTAAATGTATCTGACAAAAGAAAGGGAATGTCTTACTAAAGTAAATTAGAGTTCATTCTGCGCTCGCCTTGAGTTTTTTAATTCGCTGCCCTTCCTATCAAGTCGCTTACCACCTGAATATTGATATCGTAGGTGATGGCATTGCATACTCAGTTGGTGCCAATTTCACACCCCACGTGCTTACTGTTAATGCTGGCGAGGTATACTGTACATATTTCTTTTATGCCAATATCTTTAGAAGTTAAATTTAGTTTGCCTCCTGTAAATATGTCCATATTTTGCCACCCTTTATGATGCTATCCATATGTTACATACAAAAATTATATTAACCTCTTTTCTGTAAGTCTAGAAACCTTTTTGAATTTATATATGCCCATTATTTGCTTGTTTGCTTGTGTTCACATCATTTCTTGGAAGGTGATGGACTACTTCCAAAAAAAAATAAAAATAGATTTGTCTTACTAAGGAATTAGAATATCTGTCTAAAAGAATATTATTTTAATTTATTTTATTAACAGATATATAACAGTTGCAGGATTGGCTAATCTCTTTAAAAATATTTAATAGGTTGACATGAACTATTTCATGATGGCCGGAAGTGTTGTTTTCCTTATTGAAGTAGCCTACATTGCCGATGAAACAGTAAACGGTTTCTGAGATAGGTTCAGTATTCAGAGGTCTGAAAAAATTAGATGATTTTATCCAATAAGTGTTACAACATTATAAAATCTTTTAATTCGAGGAATGATTAATTTCACTGTATAGGTGAATTGTTAATATAAAATGTATATATCTGACTAGGAGGTAACATTAAAATTATGCAGTAACATATCAGCGGCTGAGTTTCTACTGTCTCCATGCATCTGATCCTTTATGCGGTGTGCAGAGTCTTGACATGATTTTCTGATGTTTCTACGTTCTGTTTCAGGATGTTAATATGAAGGTCATGTCCTTCTCTCAACAGGGGTCTCGTGCTATTTGTATTCTTTCTGCAAATGGAACAATTTCAAATGTTACACTCCGTCAACCAACTTCTTCAGGAGGTACCTTAACATATGAGGTAAGTGCAATGGGGACCTACTTTCCATTGTTAGATGGTCTTCATATGTCATGCATGATTCAGGTTGCATAATGTGTGACAATAATGCAAGTTGTTTTAGATGTTATTTTTCAAATTCTTTTGTATTGCACCCTGACCAAGATTGGATAAGGTTTAAGCATAAACTAGAACAACCCTCCTTGCATTGTGGGGTTCTGAAATTGTTTTTGATGATGAAAAAAGCATAGAAGCTATTTATATACACGCATATAAAGGCACAAAGGCCCTTGTATACAATAAAGGAACAGTGATAAGGATTTTACTTTTATTATTATATCATATTCTCTTTGTTAAAAAATGTAAGGGATTTTTAATTGAACCTCATCCCCCAATAAAATAGTTACTTGTTTTCAAACTAACCCTATCTTTTCATATTTTTCCTTATTTAGTAGGGTATTTCACCCTAAAATAATATAAATTGATCTATTCAATAGGGGTTATTTTTTGGGGGAAAAAAGGTAACGATTAAACTCTGAAAGATTAAAAATAACAAAGGGAGTATATGCTATATTGTTTGATATTGACTTTTTCTCTTGTAATCTTTTGGCGATACAACTTGTGTTTATAAGTTCTCCCTCTATCGTTTTTTTAAATGTGGGTTCCTTTTAACCTATCTTCCTGCTCAAAGGAACTTGTGGTGCTGTGTGAATATGTATTAACACACTTAGGCTTATTTGATGCCATTACAGGGGCGATTTGAGATTCTTTCTTTGTCTGGTTCATATATGCCTTCTGAGAATGGTGTGACAAGAAGTAGATCAGGTGGGATGAGCGTCTCTTTGGCAGGTCCAGATGGTCGAGTGGTGGGAGGTGGCCTTGCTGGTCTGTTGGTAGCAGCAGGTCCTGTGCAGGTAAAGCAACAGCTATTTAAGATTTAAGTATTTGCTATCAAATTTTCCGCAGAAGCATGACGTTTACATAGTCCTGAATTGTGAAAAATGTCCCCTCATGTTCTTTTTGGATAATCTCATTGTAAACACCCATAGAGCTTTACATACGTATTGTCCATTGATGAAACATTCAAGCACCTAGTGAAAATAAGATAATATTTGTGGAATCATTGGTTGGTCAAATCATAGCATTAGTAAGCCACACTCAATTCACATTAGTACTTTTCTGAACCATCTTCTCTGTCAGGTTGTTGTGGGAAGTTTTCTTCCAGGCCACCAGCAGATGCAGAAACCCAAGAAGCAAAAGACGAATCATTTTTCGCCCGTATCGTCTGGACATTATAATACCATCCCAGTTGATGAAATAAAAATCAGTTTTGGAGGAGTAAAGCCTATTATGACTCCTGCTGCATTTCAAGCAGACAACAATGCTGCTGCTTTTAACAACATCCAGGGCTCTAGCAACTCATCTGCTGATGACGGTGATGATGATGTAACCCTTTTGCCAGAAAAGGAGTCTAACCCCAGCCAAATCGGATGCTAAATGATTTCATTGTAAGTCAAGTGGTTTCTGCAGAATCAACCACATACATCTAGGTTCACTCATTCTTGACATAAGCTGACAAAGATAGCATGTTGGCTAGTTATGAAGACAAAACCCTAGTTGGATGAGTGTCAGGTTGGTTTTGACTCCGAGGTTGTACTTCGGTACTTAGGTTAGTTATGGGATCTCTCTGTTAGATTTTCCATGTGTCTGTTCTGATGTTGTATCTCTAGTAGTGTTATAGTGTTGTTTACTCATTTTATTTAGTGTCATTGTGATGTAGGAAAATGTGATGTCATCATCTTCCTCATTTTGCTTATCTTGAATGTTTGAAATGTGAGTGGATGGATGTGGGTGTTTCTGATATGTAACTTCAAATATTATTTGTGATGAAAGAAAAAATTGCATCTCAACTACTATTGTCTGCTGCTATATCATATGGTTCTTTGCTCGCTAATCTCCTCTGGGAAAATCCACTGAACATCATCTTGTTATTATTCACTGATAAGAGTGAGAAAAGAATATTAAGATGATTCACGCATATATTTTACTAAATATATTATATGGCAGAAGTCGGTAATTTTTGCGGCAGCATTATTTACACTGCACAATGCTCTTTCCACGGGTTTATTCTGAGTTGTTTTGAAGCGTTCAACTACTGCTGTAAGTATAATAATAATATTGTCAATTGTAAACATTATTTAATATAATTATTTTGATTTTTCTTAACACTCCATTGCCTTCGGCTGAAAACAAAATGATTCTCCATTCCCCATCCTTTCATGCCAAGAGGCCGCCAATGCCGCCCGATGCTTGAGACAGAAACATTATCCTTATATGAACAAATCTTAGATATTAGCGCAGGGAAAAAGGAAAATAAAACTCTATATATTTATGCATTGGCTTGGCTTTAGGATAAGTAGCTCTAGCAAATTAAAACGTGAATAAATATGTAGAATAAGTTGTTAAATTTGAGTCAATTGTTTGTTTTACATATCTATGTATAATTAATTTCTTTTATTTATTTTTTGAGAAATCCAATCTGCTTAACAATATCAAAGGAAGGCTAAATGGCTGATAGAATGATCTTTAATTTGAAATCAAACTGCTCAAAACATCTTCCAGGACAAATGTCAAACAAAGGGTTACTATGCCTGCCGCGCTTGAAAACCAGTACGTTAACAGATACAAACTCATTACCAGTCTCTCGCACTCCTCTCTCTCTCTCTCTCTCTCTCTCTCTCTCTGTGTGTGTGTGTGTGTGTGTGCAATTTTGCTGTATCTTCTACAATTAATGGTTATCTTTGGGCATTGAGACCTCATCTATTATGGCATTGGTAGCCTTTCGAGTCCCGTATTTTCATTTTCAGTTCACAGAAATGAAAACAGAGGTCCCTTTTTCTTGAGACTTTTTATGCAGAAAATTCCTTTCTACAAAGAAAGAAGATAGAAGGAATCACCACAGATGCTTCTCTCAAACAGCAAATCCCACTTATGCCCATCGCATCACTTTTTCACCTTATCCATGTGAGCAAGAATAATGTCATATTATCCTCAACAAAAAAAAAAAAAAAACAAAGAACAAAACTCACTCTCTGGAGCAAAAGTGAAATTCTTAGTCTCAGTTGTACAACAAAATTTATCGGCACAGTCTCATTACACACTGATATGATATCTGAGTTATCTATTAAGCCTCACTGGAAATAATTAAAGAAGAAAAAGAAGATTCCGATGCCAAATTATGTGCTAAAAAATTCTGCTTTCCAGCCTTTATTTACTTTCTCTATGAACTCTTCCACTCTCCTCCTCAGCTCATCATCTTCTTCTTCCTCTTGAATTTCTTCTTCTACCTCTACCTCATTGCTGCAATTCTCATCTGTTTCCTCCTCTTTCTGCTGATCTTGTGACATTTCTCCGCCTTCTTCCTTCTGGGCTACACCCTTTGAATTTGCTTCTGCTTTCTGGGTTGTGCCTTGGACTCTGGACATAGACACAGGAATCTCACTTTCTTGATCAAAACTGAGCCTTGGCTTCAGGTCTAGCAGGATGATCACTATGATCAGATTGCAGAAACAGAAGATGAAAGCTGAACTTGAAGCAGCCTGAGTGAATAACTCCATTATAGAATACAAGAACATGGTTTTGGATGATCAATGAGAAAAGAGACTGAGGAAACAGACTGGAAGAGTGAGAATTTGGGAAGTTTTGTATTATGCAGAAAAACTAGAGAAGTTTGGAGACTATTTAAGTTCTTGTTTCGATAGACACCGACGTGGAAAGAACATTTTTTGAAGCCAAAATTAATGATGATGAGGTGTAGCGGGGAAGCTATTGCAACAAAATACAAAATGCCTTTTTTTGGGGTTTTAATTATTGAGGAATAATAAGTGTACATGAAAAGTTTTGTTGAAAGCGTATGTTGAGAGCTTTTATTTTTTGTTTAATCTAAAGGTCTTATTGTTCCTTTGAAGAACCTCACATGGAACTTTCTGCATTTCTCACTCACACGCCTATATGTCATCAATTGACATCACCACCTAGACTTTCATGTGGGTTTTCAATATTTCTGTTTCCACCTCATATTGTCCAAATTAGGTGGATCCTACCCTGATATTTTATACAAAATTTAAGAAATAAATTGTGTTATTGTAGATTTATTAACAACACAACTTATTATAAATTTTGAACTTTATAGTAATATTGATGTTGATAATGATTCTACCATCAACCACTTTAATATTCCAACGCCAACCATGTATTTACATTTATAGATTGGATGGTTGGTTAGTGAGCCCTTCAGCTTTATCTTGGGTCATTTTGAATATTAAATAACAAGTTGGTGAATTCTTAAGTACAGATTAATTATTTCACATGCTACGCTAATTCACAGCAGTTATTATGTGATTATGCAATTTTGCAGTAGCTAGTCAGGAATTATTTTAGAGGTTTTCTCTAACAATATTCAAAATAAAAGAATTAATATGCAATTTGAACCTTAAACTATAGGTCCAAGGGTGATTTAAACTCTAAATTTTAAAAAGGTGCATTCTGAACCCTAAACAATTAAGGTTGGGGCAATTTCATTTCTAACATTAATTTCAACAAACTTCCTCAAATTAGAACCTAAAGAGCAATTTTTCTCAAATGAATTTGACGGATATTTGTTGAAAATTAATGGTAGAGGTGAAATTGCCCCAACTTTAATTATTTAAGGTTCAAAATATACCGTTTTAAAAGTTTAAAATTCAAATCGTTCTTAAACCTATAGTTTAGGATTTAAATTGCATATTAATCTGTGGTAATATTAAAATTTCCTAGGATATGAAAACAAGGAATAAAAAAAGGTAAATGATGAAACTATATAAAAGAAGACTATAAAATAGTTTTTTTTTTTGTGAAGATTATGATGGGTATGAATGTGATGGTGTTGAGTTTACTATTTTTGTGCTTGTTGGGTGGGTTTTGATAGGCCATCAGTGGCAGCAATAGGAGTAAAATATAATCTTTTGCTATAAATGTACTTTCATTTTTTTTTATTCTTTAGTGTAATGGAATCTCATACTATCAGTGGAAAAAAATTATCGTTCTTTATTAGGGAAAAATCTAAAATATATTCATCTTTATGCATTTTTTTCTCTATCTCTTTACTTATCAAAAAAGCATTTGGTTATTTTATAGATTGTTACCTTCATTGATAAATTCAAACTAAAAAACTTATACACTTCTTCAAAATCTTTTTAAAAATTGATATAATATGCAAAATCAATTTTTTCTGTAACTATTGAATTATTATTTATTAGAGTGCATTTTTTTAAATACAAAAGGGTTAATATGCAATTTAAACCCTAAACTATAGGTCGATGGACGATTTAAACTCTAAACTTTTAAATGCATTCTAAACTCTAAAAAATTAAAGTTGGGGCAATTTTATCTCCTATCGTTAACTTTCAACAAATGTTCATCAAATTAGGACCTAAAGTGTATTTTTTTTTTAAATGAATTTGATGGACATTTGTTGAAAGTTAATAGTAGAAAAAAAATTTCTTCAATTCTAACTGTTTAGAGTTTAGAATGCACATTTTTAAAGTTAGGGTTCAAATCTTCCCTGGACATACAGTTCAGGGTTTAAATTACATATTAACTTGAAATAAAACTAGATAAACACTTACATGATCTGCTGTTCACAATATAATTTATCAATAAATGTTTTCTTATTTAAAAGCCAAAAAGAATGAGAGTATGAGTGAAGTACAATTTGGCTTCTAAATTATAAATTTAATAGTATTGAGAATTTTAAACTTATTTTTTGTACAGCATTCTTTTTCAACTTTTGAAAATAATACAATATAGCCCTTACTATTAACAAAGTTTAATTTTGACTATTACTTAACCAAAAAATAATAGAAAAGGATCAAAAAAATTATAAAAGGACCCAAAAAATTATAGAAAGGAACGAGAAATGTAAGTTTGAGGTTTTTTATATTATTGTTTAATTAACTAATAGTTAAAGTTAACTTTTATTAACAATAAAGATATTATTATATCATTTTCAAAAAATTAAAGAAAACATTATACAAAAAACAAGTTTAAGATTCTTGATGCCCCTGAACTTATAATTTAAGGGTCAAATTGTTATTTAACTCAAATATATCTTCCTTTATGTTGTGATCTTATTTAAAAAAAATAACAGAAAAGAAAATGAGATTATTTAATTAACAACAATATAATGAACATTACATTTTATTTTTTTACTATTAAAAAATTGTGGCAAACTGGCAATGCCTTGTAGCTTCTAAGGAGTGCATCACCAAACATATCTCCATTTCCTCGGCATCTCTCCATTTTCATATTTATTTTATTAAAAATCCTTTGTCCCTGCCAAGGGGCCTTAATTAATGAATTTATTGTCTTTTGAAAAAGAAGTGAGGGTGAAAAGTAAAACATTTGAGACATAAACACAATGCAGTGTAGGATTTATTTATTATATTTATAAAAGAAGGAACAGTGAAATTTTGAGATGATAAAATAATTGAGGATTTTGAAAGTTCTGGACAGCTAGCAATCCAGAGAAAGCGACCATAACCTAATTCTGTAACCAAACAAAAATCTTTTTGGTGTTGAGATTTGTGATGCTTGCTTTGAAAATATCACATTTGATGTCTATCTATTCTAACAACTTAAATAAGCAAAAATTACAGTTAATTACTCCTTCTAGGCTTATTTCTAAGATACAGACCGAAGAATTTTTTTCCCTTATATTTATAAGACATGTCATTGATTTTTTATTACAAATTTTTTATCCTCCATTCAATATTAAATATGTTACTAAAGTGCATATATATATATATATATAATAGTAATAAAGTTAAAAATTAATTAAATTTATTAATAAATTTAATGATTTTTAAAGTCTTCTTTAAATTTTATAAAATATATTAAAAGTAATTTATAAATAGTGAATAGGGGTCGTGTATTTTGTATATTTTTAAACCATATGATATTAAAAATTATAATTAATACAAACAATTTTTCAATACTTTCATTTTTATTGTATGTGACTATGAATAATAATCGTTGATATTTTTAATAGGTTACATTTGTATGAATTTTTCTTTAGTTTCGTAACTGTCAGAATTATTATTAGATTTTATAAAAGTTATTAATGGTTATTAAAATAATTAGGTGAGTTCCTCTACTTTACAAAAAAAAAAAATAATAATAATTTACTTTCATTGAGACATTGACAATTACATTGAACTTGAAGAGAAATTTTTGATTCAACTATTATACAATTTTACTGGATAAAGTATAGGTAAGATGGTACTCATGGTTCATGCAAGAATTTCTTTTGAAATTACAAATACATTTCAGGGTTTATAAACAAAATTAACATACTAAAAATTTTATGTTTTATATAAATATTAATTACTATTTAATTAAAAAACCATAACGTCAAAGTTACCAAGAATTTCCCTGGATCTTTTTTTTAAATTATTTATGGGTATCATTTTATTGAAAGCAATAATATTTAAAATATAATTAAGTACTGAATATGGGTATATCTTTCCACATAGATTTAAACCTTTACTCATCATGATATGTAGAGCTGGCAAAAAGGGCCGGCCCGGCCCTGTAGGGCCGGCCCTTGAAGGGCTCGGGCCTAAAAGGGCCGGCCATTTTAAGCCCGAGTTCCCTTTAGGACCCTAATTTTCGAAGCCCGGCCCTTGACATGACGGGCTTAGGGCCGGCCCTGCGGGCTTTAGGCCCTTTTAACTATTTTTATTTTTTTTAAAATTTTTTAATCAAACAAAAAATTACTTCATTCTAATATAATACTCAATCAAGAAAAGTATAAAAAAACTAACTAAATAACATTTAAATGAACTAAAAACACAAATAAAATAATAACAATGCAATAAGTAATAGATCGGTTAAGCCGACAAACACCTAATCAAAATTAGAAGAGTAAATGTTGAACTGAATGAATCATTATCATGGATCTAGATGAATTAGGGGATTTAAGGTTGTATTTTTTTTAGAAAATAGCAGCCAAGGATTTCTGTATGAAATTTATATCAATTAAGAATCAATTATTGTTAAAACCTGAATGAAAAACAAGCTACAATGAACTATTGTTAATTTAAAATGAGTTCTTATTAAAATCTAAATGAATACTTATTGATAAAGGTTAACTCGAATTCACAAGTATCTACTCGAATTTTGACAATAAGTGATCTTTGACTGATATAATTTTTGATCAGTGATTCTTCATTGCTATTTTTCCTTCTTCTTTTTTACCTTTCATCCTCAGTAAATATGGGCTAACATGTGATGTGGAGTAACATTTAGTTTATTTTTTTTCAAATGTAAAAAAAAGTAAAAATTATGAGAATTAATTAAAAAAAATACATATGTGGGCTTAAACGGGCTGGCCCTCGGCCCTGCAGGGCCGAACCTTTTAAGCCCGATTTATCATTTTGGAGTCCTATTTACAAGCCCGGCCCTACTCTTATACGGGCTTAAACGGGTTAGCCCGACGGGCTCGACCCATTTTTCCGGCTCTAATGATATGAGATGCTTGCCACTTCTATTAGATACAATCTCAATTGGTTAACTTATACTTCCTTATTTATTTATTTTTTTATTTATTTTTTTGAATATACTATCCTTATTTTTTAGCCGTAGTTGTTACTTGTTATTGATACTTCTATTGCTTTTTTTTTTTTTTGGGTTTTAAGTTCTCATTCATTTATACATCTCATTAACGTTTCAAATTAAATTACTTCTTAGCAATGTTGTTTCTAATATTAATCAAATTTGATTTT